GCCGCCGCCGCCTCCCCCGCCACCTCCTCCAGCCCGGCCGGCGCTACGCAGAGCGGGTCCGCCTGGGCCCGCCGCCCCGGCTCGCCCGCGGGAGGGCGGCGGCCGCCCTGCTCACCAGGGAGATGGTGGTTGTAGCCGCCATCTTGTCCACCCCGTCGGCTGTCGGCGCGGGACTCTCGCGAGAGCTCGGTGGCGCGCGCGACACGGGAAACTCTCGCGAGCCCGCCGGCGGCGGCGGCGGGGAGAACGTCTCGCGAGAACTTGGGGGGCGTCACGCGACTGAGGGCCGGGCGGCCCGGTTGGCGCTCGTCTCGCCGCGCCGGAATGGCGCCGGTCGGCGGGGCCCAGACGGGGGGATCGGGGGCGGACGACCTCGGCTCTCTATCTGCGAGTGCCCCGTGGGTCTGTCTGCCCCAGCCACGGGGCGCGGCGTGAGCGCCGGGGGGGTTCCGTGGCCGCGCCAGGGTCGGTACAGGCCTGTACGGCGCGGTCGTCGCCTCCGGCAGCTGCAAAGAGCGAGGGCTGGGGAGTTGGGGCCTGCAGCGCTGCTGCTGCCGCCTGCAGAAGCTTCTCGGGGGCCTCCAGAAGCTGTTGCTGCTGCCAGCTGCAAGGCTGACCCGTCCTGCGGGCAAAGGCTGTGCCGTGACGTGCTCGAAGCGCTCGAAACGGAGGGCCCTGACTGTTACAGGGTGGTCCTTGGTCGTTAGGTGGGCATCCGGAGCTAAGAGCCCCGGTTACCTGTTGCGGAGATATGTAGTTGCCGAATAGGCAATTTGAGAGCAGCTCCAGGACCCATCTGCTGAGAACTGAAGTGAAACATGGCCCTGCTGTCTGACTGTCCCCACCCTGTCCCTTTTACTCTTTATTTACTTTGCAAATGGGTCCAACCTCTTGCATCCAAATTTAAATGCAAGGGCAAGGTGAAACAGCCTGGCACAGGTGATCTCTGTCACAGGGGATGGAAGTGCTGCTCTGAAATAGGGCCCCAAAAAGACATCCGTTCCCAAGGTGGTGGTTCTGCTTTAAAGGGAAAATGCCATTAGTAAGGGACAGAGATATGTGCTGTTACACCTTGCACTTAATTAGTTAAACTGGCATGAGAATGTTGTGGCCTCTTGCCCCTGCTACAGAAGAGATGCAAGGCTACGGAAAATCTATAAGTTTACAGATTCTGAAAGCCTGTTTTATAACAGATATCAAAAGTTCAGGCCAATAAAGCTTATCAAAAGTAGTTAAAAGACAACATCTAGTTACCGTTAGGATGAGAAAGCCTTGCACTGCAAAAATTCTTTTCACCAAGGAGATAAAGGTACGATACCTGAATTGGAATGTGAAACAAGTGTGCCTTATTTTTAGCCTAAATTTAAGTGACAGCAGTTAACCACTGGAAAACATTATTATTGAGACATAGTGGATTCCTACATTATGCAATCTCTACTAAAAGGTGTGCATACCACAACTATAATGTACGGGCAGGAATTACAATCCTAAGCAGCTGATCAGACTTGACTATCGGTGTCTGAGGACACATCCCATCCCCTTTCCTGTAGGACAGGACTCCAAAGAGTCGTGTCTGACTTGCAAGTGTGAGGGCAGGATTTCCATTCTTGTGCTGGTGTCAGTTTTGCGAAGAAGGATAAGCATCCTGCTGGACATCAAGCTGTTAGCCAGCAATATGCCCTTGCGGCAGAGAAGGTCAACATCTGGGAAAACCGTGCCAGCTGCTTGAGGGGACTGATCCTTCCTCTGCTCAGCACTGGTGAGGCCACATCCGGAGTGCTGGATCCAGTGCTGGGCTCCCCAGGATGAGACAGACATGGAGTTACTGGAACGAGGCCAGGGAAGGGCTTCCAAGATGCTGAAGGGATTGGAGCACCTGTTGTAGGAGAGGCTGAGAGAGCTGGGGCTGTTCAGCCTGGAGAAGAGAAGGCTCACGGGGCATCTCATCTGTGTGTACAAATATATGGTGAGAGGGTAAAGACGATGGAGCCAGGGTCTCCTCAGTGGTGCCCAGTGACAAGAAGCAATGGGCACAAACTGAAAAAATGGGAAATTCCATTTGAATGTAGGAAAACACTTTTTTTTTTTTCTGTGAGTGTCACTGAACATGGGAACAGGTTGTGCCCAGAGATCCCCATCTGTGGAGATACTCAAACCTGACTGGACATGGTCCTGGGCAACCCGCTTTAGCTGACTCTGCTTGAGCAGGGGCGTTGGACTAGAGGATTGCAGAGGCTGGAAGGGACCTCTTGAAATCTCCAGTGGTCCTGTCCAACCTCAACTGTTCTGTGATTCTGAGAGCAGCCTGTCATGGACTGGAAATGCCCTGCAGTAGCTGGTTAATGAATTCATCCTTGCTGAATGCAGCACAGCCAGTAGCAGGGAAATCCATTGGTCAAACTGAGCTGAGACAAATCAAACAATGAATTCAGTGGGGTGAAATGTGTTAAAGAAGAGCTAACTAGCTCATCAGGGAAATGAAGCAGTTGGTATATGAAGGAGTTTCTCAGTTTGCAGAGGCAAGTGCAAACTTGTTCTGGAGACAGAGTGATTTCTGAATCAAGCAGCTGTATGATGTTCCTCCACTGAACTCCTTCTCTACCCAGTTTGCCTGACTTTGTGGATAAGTCTGTTGAACTCAGGGAAGCTATTTCACATCTTCTTAGTTTAACTGTAAGATTGACTAAGAAATTATCAAGCGGTTTGCTGAGTGGAGTGCTCTGATGAGATAAGCTACTTTCAGTGGCTTTATTGATTTGTCAGTTTGTAAAGTTGGCACAGCATAGCACAACTGGGAAATACAGCACAAATCGGCAGCTCAGCATAGCATCCTAGCATGGCAAACCCAGCCCGGCATGATACAATTGGTGCAACACCGCAAAGCACGGGCAACGCAGTGCCACATGGAAGACCCAGCACAGCGCAGAACACCAGCACAGCGCAGCATGATACAGCTTGTTCCACATGGCACAATGTGAACAGCATGGAGCAGCACTGCATGGCTTTTGCAACACAAGTAATTCCTATTTGCACTTTTCACCAACTGAACCCGACATGCACAGCAGCTAAGATGACTGCCCCTTTCTCCAGGCTAATGACTGAAGTTCCAAACACCACAGGAGAAACAGGGAAGGAAGACACATCAGGGTTTTTCCCCTTAAGATGCCATGAGATTTTGGAAGGCCATAAGACAAACTGGGGAATGACAAAGGTTCTGTTCAGCACCAATGAAGTTTCTGCTGATCCACATGTTTGGATCCAGCTGGTGAGTTTGGATTTCTGGAATTTCTTCTCCTGCCATGTCAAGTCCAGCTCACCAAGTCCTCTCTTCAGCTTACACCAAGGTGTGCAATTCTAATTACAAGGCATCACAGTGGTTCACCTGTGCTGGGAAAACCTTAACGAAACAGGAGAAAACTGGGTATAAAGAATGGAATGTGGCAGACCAGAAGCTGTGCCAGAGCCTTCCAAGCCTGCTCCTCTCCTCCCTTCTGCAAGTATTACCAGCTGGCAAAGAATCAAAAAATAGCTTTGGGACCTGCAGTGAAAAAAGCTTATCATTCCCAGAGGGAAATTTATCAGTTTGGGGGATTCTTGCAGCAGCTTTGCATCTTCACAGACACCATCAGGAAGGGGCTGCAGGGAGTGCTACCCCACTCCTCACAACCCCCTTTGGCTTGCTGCTTCAGGAGTGGGGACCAGAACATGTACTCCTGCTTGGTCCTGACTTATGATGCACATGTAATTTCTCGTGTTTGCTGATTACTCCTCCACTTGCTGTTGCCTTTTCACACCGCAGCTCAGGCACACACCTCTCATGGACTGCAAAGGTTCAGTCAGGAGCGAGTGGCCCGGTCAGTCCTGCTGGAGGAAGTTCGGTCAGGAGCCCCGCAGTTTCTTCCAGTCTGGTACACTTCCCGTCCCCTGTGGTACAGGGGGACCACTCTGTCCCAGACTGCAGTGAGGTGACTCACAAGGGAGGAGACCGGTATTTGTGGAAGGCATTTTCCAGGAAGTTAGCCAGCTTTTCACAGTCGTCCTAAAATAGAAGAAAAAACATGCCAACAGATCAATTTGGCTTGGCTACCTTGGACATCTCCTTCCTTACATGATTCCATCCCAAGCCACCGATTTCACATCTGAGTTTTGATATGGGAAGAGAACAACTCACAAGCACATCTGGAACATACTACTAATAATTATCATAGTTACTGAATAATGCCAAATGACCAATCAAGAACAGAGCCTTTTTGTGTCAGGTGCAATATAAAGGCAAAAGAGCAGACAGTTCTTTGGAGCTTCCAATCTGAAGGAACATAATGGGTCCAGCTTCTTTTGTTTAGTTTCATTTCAATTTAATTAACTGCTGGATCTAAAGTTATTTTCTATGGCCATCTTTTTTATAATATCCTCACTGCTAACAAAAATAAAAATTAATGTCACTTTTTGTTGGTCTGGCAACTGTTTTGTGCAGAAATCTCTTTTCTGACACATTCAGGAGTAGGTGGTTTCTAACACAATTAGAATGTTTATTCCTTAAGAAAGAAATTACTGAAATACACAATGATATGTAAAGGATGCAAAACCCCCCCCACCTTGTATCATAGAGGGGTTTTGGAATTGCCAGAAACTCAAAATCCTCACTCAAATGAAAAATGCAGAATCAGTTGTTTTCTTGCTGCTTAGAGGCACCCCTTTGTCACAACTGCTGCTAAATTACTACTTTTCTTTTAAGAAAAACCTTGGATTTTGAAGACAAGATTTGTAAGGCATAGGTGGTATCTTTTGTTAGACCAGCCACTACAGTTGGAAAACCAGATGAGCATTTGGCTACACAGGTCCTTCAGGTCAGAAACAAGCAGCATACTTCCAAGCTAAATACAGGCTTGGAGTAACAAAGTATAAATCAGCTATACCATCCGAGAGAAAAGGTAGTCGGTGCCGGTGGAGTAGGAAAGATGTTAGAGAGGGGAAGACGTGTTAAAAGGAGGTTATCTCCTAGGAAAAAGAAAGACAAAGGTAATTTACAGTCCATGGAACACGGACCTGTGTGAGGTATATTCTACAGTACTAGGTTGCCTCAAATGCCACGTATTTTCCAGAGCATAGGAGAAAGCACCGCAGTGTGTCAGTGCCGAGCTGCACAGTCACCATGCTCAGATGAAGAAAGGAAGGAAGTCTAAATGTACTTTTTTTCCAGGTGTACCCACATAAATTTTTCATTCAGTGAAGCTGACCCCTTCCTTGTCTAAATTCAGCATCCAGAATGAGGAATTCTCCAAAACTTCGCCTACAGCGCCATAATTCCTAACTTGTACAAAATAATAATATATTTTTAATTCTCTCCATGCTACCTTTCCTTGAGGCTATGCTGTTGAGTAGTCTGAATGACTGGGATGCTTTGAATTCTTTCTTGGGACTGTCTGCAAACTCTCTAAGGGAGAGCCTGGAAGTTCAGTGTTGGGGTAGGCCATCTCTTCTGGCAGGCAGAAATCTGCAAAGTGACTTAAGAGCAGCTGTCCAGGCAACACCTGGACAATGCCTCTGGGAGATGGGAGGTTGCCTCAGCTTCCTTCCCTTGGCACTCCTCTGGTTCTCGCATTCAGAATCACTGCGAGGTTGATGTAATTAACCCTGCCATCACAATATGACTGTCCCCTCAAAACAGCAACCTGGAGTTAGGCATGAGCAAAGTATGGAGAAAAAACCCAAAAGAAACAAAAAAGGGAAGTGTCAGTCACTGCAAGGGCCTGGCCCCTGTCACCACTCTCTGGCTGCCAGATGGAGAACAGAGGAGCTCCTACTCCTCTGAGGCATGAGGTGTCACACGGATTTGGGGACCACAGTAGCACAGTGCATGCACGACTGAGATGAGAAGGAGTGGTGAGGAGGCTTACCTCGTGGATGAATCCATAATGCACCAGCTCTGTGGCCAAGTCCTTGGAGTTATCAGCTGCAGAGACAAGGAACAGTGAGAACATGAAAGTTGATGCATCTCTTAGTTCCTCCTCTACCAGCAAAGTGCCCCTATCCCAACCAGCAGCACACCTGCATTACACTTCATTGTGCTTTAGGGGCACATGCTGTATACTTTTGGTTGGCTAAGTGACTGCTAAGTAATCCCGGGGCAAGCAGAGCACAGAGGTGGGCAGTGAGTTGGAGTTAAACAAGATACTGGGCAGGAATGAGTTCCAGTCCCAAATCACACAAAGCACAATAGTCTTGGCAATGTGTCACTTCTCTGAGATTTTTTTTGCTTGTTTTGGCTCAGCATGAAAAGCAGGCAGGCCACTACCTGTAGGCAGAAAAACACAAGGAGCTGGTGAAGCAGCAACTCCCAAGCATTAATTTCCAAGCTTTATGCTTTAGTTTTGGCAGTAAGGCGGTCAAGGGACTCCAGCTACATGGCCTCCAGAAGGCTCCTGCATGTTTTAGGAAGGAGCCTGCTGTGCTGGACCTACTCTGAGGAGAAGCAGCCTTCCCCAGAGCCATGGGGGTCCCTCAGAGGAGAGTCCACCTTCTCCTTTGAAAGATATTGGGGAGATCACACCAGTGTTGGGAATGAGGGAAGAATTCACTAGTGTTACCCCAAGAACTGCACATCACATGTCCCAGGGTGAAATGCAAGATCTTGATGGCCACCCACTGGACTCCCAACATTCACTTTAGAATGCAGGTTACTACCGCATGCCAGAGGCTGTGGGTCAGGGTCTGAGTAGACAAGAACTGATACCACACACAGATATTAAGGTTTAGTCTGCTCTTCCAGCACAAGAAGGAAAGAAAAGCTGGCTGTAAGCACAATCTGTGTCTAACACAGTCTGAGCCTAAACCTGACCAGGGCCACTGGGCAATACTTCTGCATTCATGCACAAAAATCTGCTTGCAAATAAACCTACTGGGCAGCAAGTCGTAGCTCAACTGTCGATGCAATTTGTCCTCCAGGATCAGCAGAAGAGTAAGCTGCAGAAAGAAGAGAGTGCTCTTTATAAACACCAGTTTCTCCATAAGAGGGAAAGGTGCTGACTCTTCCATCAGCACTAGAAACTGCCAGTAGTGGTGAGCAGGGAGGATGTTAGTAACTGCCGAGATGTCAGATGTCTTTGGCAGGGTAGTTTGAGTGTCTTAGAAGAATATTCTCTCAACAGTTACAGCTCACCTGCAACTGTTAAACTAGAAAGAAGTAGAGTTAAAAGATATCAAGGTCTTTCTGTCCTGCAGCCAGAGGGGGCTGGTGGCTTCATTCTTCTTCAGGCTTCTTTTACTATAAAGGGACAAGAGTAAGTCCTTTGGGTACTGCAGCAAACTAGCTGAGACCAAACTTTTTCCCAGTCAGATGCCAGAGATGGGTACAGAGAGCAGATCTTGCCCCAGTGCCTCATGTAGAATAGGAGCTGAATACTTACATGCCACTGGGTCTTGTCTTCATTCAGCTCCATGTTACATTGCATTTGCACCACCTAGAAGAGGCCAAAATCAACATCAGCTTGGACACAGTCCCTCTGGCTCCCCCAGGCCCGCTTTACTTCTGGTCTCCAAGCATGACTTCCAAATTCCTACTTAAACCCCTTGATTCCAACTGCCAGCCTGACCTTCCACTTCTTCCCACATTTCTAGGAATTGTGCGGGTGAGGGTTAATTTAGTCCAGTATCCAGCTACAAACCATGGCCATCATCAGCTGACTGAGAGGTGGGTAAGGGAGCCCTGTGCAAGGTGCAGTTCTGGGAAAACTTTACAACCAGGATGAATTCTTCTGCTCCATTTGCCACAGGTAGGCTTCCCCCTAAAGCTCTGCCCAAACTCTTGGTTATGTTTTAATATCGTACTTGTTCATGTACTTATGGGGTGAACAATCCTTAAATCAGACAGAAGAGCAAAACTGAAATCTTGAATATTTTATGGATTTTCTTTTAGAAACTCCACATCGCATCGCAGAATATTCAAATGTGTTAGATAAACATGGCATTTTATTAACATGTCAGCTTTGAGTTCCTACGAAGAAACTGGGTCAGCTTCAAGCTTCAGTATGTCAGCTTCAAGTTCCCATGAAAATGGTTCACACCAGAAGTCATGTTGTCTGGGCAAAGGAAAGCCAGAAAGACCGTGCAATTGGTCACCCCAAAAGACGGGAAACCAAGTGAGGAATCAACATCCCTGTTCTACGCAGAGTTTAACAGGGTTTCATTTATATTCCTCGATTTCAAGCTTATGCTCAGAGGTGAGTTATATGCTTGTTCCTTCCTCTGACCCAGTACCCCTCTACTACAGCTCCTCCCTATGACAAACATCCCTGGGCATTTAGCGCTCTCAGACAGGAAACTCGCTGTCCTCTGACCTTTATCATCTCCAGGCCATCCATTTCTCCAGGAAGAGCTGACCAGTGTGACTCTATGCCCAAGGTGGGTGTCCTTTCCTTACACCGAGTGACACCACTGCACTGTCTGGCTACATGCTTCTTTATATACTGAATTACACTGAACTGTGCAGCATCTTGCAGATGTCATCAGAGAGAAGGCTGATGACATTTGAGTGCATCATTGCCATCTGCTCCCCGCCTCTCTCTACCTGATGACTGTGATCAAAGAATCATCTAGATGGGAAGGGACATCAGGAGGTCTCTAGTTCAAGCCCCTGCTCAAAACAAGACAAACAGTGAATTCAGACCAGGCTGTTTAGAGCTGTGCCCAATTGGGTTTTGAAAACCTCCAAGGAGATCCCATAACCTCTTTTAGCCCCTGGTCCATTGTTTAACCACCCTAACCATGAAAAAAAATACCTTGGATCCATCCAGCATCCATATTCCAGTGCCTCCCAGAACAGACAAATAATCTGCATTGTAGTTACACTCATTTGGGACTTGCAGGTTTGTCCAGCTGCAAGTTTTCACGAAATCTGTAGAAACTCAGTGCTTCTGAGATTACTAGTCCCTTTGTCAAATTGGGTAAAAACTAGTTGAACACATTCGTCAGACAGACAATGCACTTGCAGAACTTTCATTGGGGCACTAGGTGAAAAAGCATCATGTAACAAATGCAAAGAGGGGAAAAGACATAACTGTGTAGGCTTACATTTACATTTCTCTAACATTTCTGATTGATCACCACAGCACTCTCACTAAAAATAAACACTGAGCAGTATGAATAAAGCATAAGTGCACCAAAAGCTGATTGCCAGACAGATACGAAGAAACCACTGCTGATGAACTTTTTGAAGGGAGGCATTTCACGGGATCTTTCAGGAATGAGAATTAGGTTTAGTCCTACATAGTATTTTTAACATTAATTCAATGCAAGTATGAAATTGCATTCATATCATCCATGGTAACAAAAGACAGTGCCATAGGTGATTAATGATGAATGACTAGAAGTGTCATTACAGGGAAATACCTGCACAGGGAAGTAACAGGTACCAAATGTTTTTTTAAGAGAGAGAGGTGCACACAGACCAATGAGTTCCTCTGACTGCTCCCAACGATGGCCAGCAGTTCAGGAGACACAAGCTGTTGTAAGAAGTGCCGTGCCTGAGCTATGCCCTGATGATGGTGGCCAACAACCTTGTCTCCCCATATGCATGTCAGCAAAGGACAAATGCCAACTCCTGCCCCTGGGAAGGAATAATCCCTGGCAAGGACACAGGCTGGGATGGCCTGGCTGGCAGGAAAGCTTTACTGGCTCTGCTGGAAAGACTCTGGGGTCATGGTGGGCAGCAGGCGGGACATGAGCTGCAATGTGCCCTGGCAGCAAGGAAGGCCAACAGCGTCCTGGGGCACAGCCAGGAAATTGAGGGAAATAATTATTCCCCTCTACTTAGCACTTGTTAAACTACATCCAAGTACTGCATCTAATTTTGGGCCCCCAAAACAAGACAGACATTGATAAACTGGAGCAAGCTCAATGGAGAGCCATCAAAATGATCCTGGGCTGGAGTGCTTGCTCTCCAAGAGGCTGAGGGAATGGGGCTTGTTCAGCGTGGAGAAGGGAAGGCTTTGGGGGATGTACCGGCAGCCTGCCCAAGCCCATGAGGGGGTTATGCTGCAGCATTGAACTGCTCTGTTCAGTGACAGATTACACCATGGCTTTGGAAGGCTTCACTTCTCTCAAACACCCTTGCATTGTGTTGGTCCTTCCCTGCCCTCCCTGCCTGGCACCCCTTCCACTCCCCTTGGGGGTACATAAACCCACTTGCAATGACCTTCCTGCCCATGACTGCAGTGTCAGGGTGTGCAGTCTCGCCTGTGCAGTGCCAGGCAGAACAGTGCCTGAGCTTGGCTGGCACCTCAGCATGCCACTGCAGTGTCAGTATCAAACAATGATGGGATTTCAAACCTACACCCCAGCAATGAGGCACAGAATATGCCATGCCACAGAGCTGCCGGTGGACATGCGAGAAGGGAAGGCAGAGCCAAAGAATCGGAGGCAGTGGGGCTGCTTGAGAATGTCTCAGGTGAAATGGAGCTCACTTAGCTCCAGCCAGAGGGACTGTTGCAGTCCCGGGGCAGCCAATGCAACGAGAACAGCTCTCACCCAGGCTGGAGTTCAGTGCATGGCTAAAGGGAGAGGTGTTCCTGCAGTAGGGTGTCGGGAATGGAGACCGTCCACCTACTCCCAGTAGAGAATCTGTCCCCACCTGGATTGGACCTTACCTTCCTGGTCTCCACATCAAAGGGCTCTGGGGTGGGAGTCTTGGCTTTCTGAGGGTCCTCCTGGGGCTGGGAGAGTGCACGTGGGAGGGCGTGGGGTCGGGAAACAGCGAAGTTCATCAGGGGATAAATCCCATTCCTGGTACAGACACAGAGGGAGGACAAACAGCTAAGCCCTGTCCCCTTACAGCCCTGACAAAGGTCAGCTGTGGAAGGCCGTGGCCCGGACCAGGGACCTGCACCCATGGAATGGCAGTGCTGGCAGGCAGGCAGGCAGCACAGTGAGGAGGTGGCAAGCCACAGAGCTACCCTTGCCCTGGCATTGCAGCCCAGGTCTGCTCGCCCCAGAGGGGAATCACAGAGGGGATCGCACACGACCAAGTACTGCTGTGCAAATGGGATGCTCTGCATGTGCTGCAGCACAATCCCCTGCCCCTGGCTCCATGCTGCCCAGGGAGCTGAGGGCAAAGAGATGCTAGACACATTACTGGTCAGCCAGCACCACCTTCAACCTACCTGACGTCTTCTAAGAATTTGTCGAGCTCAAGGAAGGAGACCTCTGAGTACCTGGGAGAGAAAGAGGACAGGAAGATTACTGGAGGAGGCAGGAGAGAAGAGCGGTGTGAAGGACTACTGTGCCTTGACACCAGGATCACCAGGCTGTATGTAAGCCCTGGGCTCACAGCTGTGTCTGCTCTGAAATCTCCCCTGCTCATTCCCACCTCCACTGTGCTCCAGGCCGACCCTCTCTCCGGATCTCTGCCATCACCATGTTCAGGTCCAGCTCCTTTATCTTCTCCTCCACCACGTTCTCTGGCATCAGATCTAGGGCAAAGGCAGAAAGGGGCTGTCAGCTGGGAGGTCCTGTATCGTAGACTCTGCAGCACAGACCCCAGGGAAGGTCTACGAGTCACTGCCTTCCCCCCCAGGCTCTTCCACAGCCCCAGCTCTGCTGGGGCAGCAAGACAAGCTCAAATGCGGCAGGGTGGTCTCATGGTTACTCACACTGGTTGTTGATGAAGCAGTGTGCTGCCAGCAGCTTGAGAGAATGGACCTCAAAGAGCACCCGGTGGAAGAGCAGATTATTAGCTGTTGGCCGCTTGTCTGGGTTGAGGGTCAAGCACGACAGAATGAACTCCTGAGGGTCAAAGCAAAGGCATAAACCGGAGGCAAAGCGGGACATTCCCCTGCTTCATCCCCACCGCTGCCAGCTCCGGCTCCCTCTCACACTTGCATTTCCCGGGAAGCAGATTTGAGTGGCTGTTTCTGCCAGTGGGCAGCCCCAGGGCAGGGCAGGCAGTGTACAGAGCACCCGAGCTGAGGGAGGCAGCAGTGCTCTGGGCAGGCAGCGTGCTGCTGGCTACCCACCAACAGCCTGGCCACAGGACCTCTGCTCCCTGCTTGCTCTCATCCAGGGAGGAGGCTGCAGTGCAAGCCCAGCAAAAGGCTGTAAGGAGAACAGGCAGGGGTGTATCCCGGCAGCCAGCCAGGATCAGCTCTGAGAGCAGCAGTCCACCAGGAAAGATGGTGGTAGGGCTGGAGAAAGGGTAAACTGAGCCAGCGGGAGGGATTCCTGACAGCGGCAGGATAGAAGGGATGCATCTGCCTGTTTCTGCTCACTGACGCAGTGAAAAGCAAGAACCTCTCCCTCTTCTGCATGCTCCAGTCTGGGGCCTGTCCTCCTGAACTGCTCTGTGCAGTTTCTGTACAGGTATCCAGGGCTATTCAGAATAGACGCAAGGACCAAAAAAATGATCAGAAGGATGACAGGGTGGGCACCCACACAACCTAACCCCTCCAAACCAGCTGCCCCAAAGACCATCAGAGGTGAACAGTGACACTGTTTGCCCCTGCTGCTGAAGGCTCAATGGAAGAAACTCTCTCTGGGACATCGTGCAAACAAGGGGACTGTTGCATCAAAGGGGGTGGGATTTACTATGGGATGCATGGGGGAATTCTGAGATCAAACAAGAGAATTTGGGGACTGTACAAACTTATTATGGAATGTTTTGGAGATTGGCCAAAGGAAGAGGAAGGGAGGGGTTGAGGTGGGTCAGGGAGGAAAATGGAGGGCGATAAAAGGGGCCAGCTGCCTGCAAGCACTCTGCTGGTCAGTACTCTTGTCTTGCTGAGCCCTGCATCTGATCACCTCAGTCTATCCCATCTTCTTATACAACTCTAATCCTACGTGTTTACAGTGTAAGTTTGTTCTCTATTCCCTGTGAGTGTGTGTGGTCCTCTGGCGAATGTCAAGCTGGACTAGATGTTAAATGAGGGGGTGTAGATACCAGGCAGACCATGGGTCTGACCAGTAACACGGAGACTCATGGGATGGGGCCAGATACCAGTGACCTGTGAAAGGGATTGCCCTGAGCATCGATACTTAGAAGCAGGACCTGGCTGTTCATGCTGTCTGTGCCCATGAACACAGCACTCCTCTGTCTGTGCTGAACTATTCGTGGTTGGCCATGTCTGTATGGAGCGTGTGTGTGTGTGCACATGCGTGCGCACGTGCACCTGTTGGGAATTTGCACTCAGCCTTACCACTGGCAGGACTGGGAAAGAGAGGTGAGGACCAGCCTCTCATCTTAACCAGCCCAGGAGGGAGGGAATCCCTGTGTCCTTCAGCCCACCAGATCTGGCTGCCCTTAGGTCTGCAGTAGGTCGTCATCCCTATTCCCTTTTCCCAGCACTGGTGTAACCTGGAGCACACAGCAATGCCAGGCTACCTGATGTTCCAGATACCAGCTGAGGGGAAGAACGCTCATGGGGAGATGTACACCCCAGGAGAGATGCCTGACCCACAGATGGGTCCCTGAGGCTCAGCCAGCTACACTCACCCGCATGTTGGGATCGTCCAGAGAATGTCGTGCCCGCATGATTGCCTCCTCTGAGACCCGTGTGTCCCCGTTAGTCTGGATCTCCAGCACTGCCATCTGGGGAAGAAGGAGTGCAGCCATGTCTGCACGTGGCCAAGCGTTGGGTCAGTCCTTGAAGGCTTCCCAAAGGGACATCCCACGGCAGGGTAGCAGCTGTGGAGCTCCTCACCAGGGCACACAGCCCAGCCAGGCTCAGGATCTCCTGGGCTCCCCAGTGCTCCCCAGCCACTGCATCCCTGCCCTCGGGGCCCATTTCTCACCTACCGCAGCTCTCCAGGCTGCTCACAGGTTCCCGGCAGGGTAGACATGGGAGGCTGCTCCCTGGGCACCATGCAGACAGCACCAACAGCCCCACAGTCTGCCCGGGCAAGCTGTGCTTGGCAGTGCATGTCCTCCTGGAGCAGCACAGTCTGTCCCTGCCCCCTGTGTCATCCCCTCCCAGGGCTGTCACAGCCCGAGGAGGAAGAGGAGGCACCAGTAGAGATGGCCAAGAGGCACCAGCCGGGCACAAAAGAGGTGAGCTAATAAGCCTATTGCTGCACCCAGGGCAGGGTAGGCCAGAGCAGCAGAAAGTGTGCTGCTGACTCCAGCAGTGATGCCTCCATTGTTGCAAGGGATCCCCAGCTCACAGTGAGATTTGGAAAAGGGCAAGGAGACTCCTTGGGAAGCTCCCCAGACCACTGTGATCCCCAGCAGGGTCAGCAAGAACAATCCTGCCCTGTAACCAGGGGTCACTGCAGGTTCCCAGGCACTGAAGCCATCCTGCTCCGTACCTCCAGTGCACACATCCCAAAGGAGAAGATGTCCACAGCAGTCCCGTCAGCCTTTTCTGCAAAACCAAGCCAGAACCACATCAGGCCAGAGGTACAGGCCACCACCCACTAACTCTAGGAACAGCCCCCTGCACCCTGCCTCATCCCTACAGGCATGTCTCCCCGCACACCCCTGCCCTCACCCCAACTAAGCCTGACCTTCCTCTGCCCACGCCACTGCTCATGCCTGCTTCCCCCACCCCAGCACGCATTTTCTCACAGTTCCCTGCACAAAGCTTTCCCATTTATTCCCCTCAAATTTGCCCCCAAAAACTCAAGGCGGGGATCACGTCATGAGTTTTCACAGGGCACAAAGATTCTTTACTCCTTTTTCCCTAATTGTTGTAACATTTTACATGCTTTTGAGTGTTCCTGAGCCATAAGCTGACCTTTTCAGAGCTATCTGTGGTCATGCTGAGATCTTGTTCCTAACTAGTAATTGCTAATGCACAGCCCATGCCCACATAGGCACAGGTGTTTTTCCCACTTGCATAGCTCTGCACTGATCAACACTAAATTTTACCTACAATGTTATCATAGTCATTATTATCACATGATTTTCTGTGACTCATGGCCAACAGCTTTAGTTATGAAGGCACTGAATAATTCTGTATTGCTGCAAACATACCGACCCCACGCCTCACACAGAACCCCCCTCCAAGTCCCTCTGGGCACCCATGCTGCCCACACCCCCCAACAGACAGACCCCACACTCACGGCCGTACTCCGGGGGGAAGAAATGCAAGTTGCGTAGCTCTTCCCTCTCAATCCTGATGGGGCTTCGCAGGTCATCCGGGAGGGCTGTGTTGGGGAACAAGAAACGTTCTGCATCACAGCTCTTCTAAGCTGTTTCCCCAGGGCTGCAAGCACAGACGGGTGCTCCGAGGTAGCTGGGATTTCTGTGGGCAGTCCTGCCCATGCGGACCAGCCGTGGGGCACTCGCTCCCCCAGGAGACCCCTCTGCTCCCACGATAGGAACAGCAATTCCTTGAGGGACAAAGGTCCCCCCTGCCTGCAAAGACCATGACTGCTCCTCTGCCACAATGCCTCGGGCCCACAGGGGAGAAAGTTCGACCCAGTAATGGGACTCATGTGGTGGGAGAGGTGCCAGAGGGACACTCACCGTTTGCAAACACCCTGTGCCAGACTGCCGGTCAGCGCCGATCCAGAAGTGGATGAGTAAGAAGGCATGGAGCAGAGGACACAAACAGAAGAGAAGGTAACTCCAAGCTTTGCATGGGCGATCCTCTGAGGGACCCTGCAGCTCTCACCTCTTCTGCCCAGCCAGAACCCCCTCGGCACACCACCCTGCATGACCCTCCCCAGCCCCTCGGCAGGCAGCTTACTCCTGCTGACTCTTCTCATCAGCGCTCGGAGCCACGGGCCAGCGAGGGCAGCAGCTTCCTACCTGAACCAATCTTTATGAGCCCGTTGTGCTGGATGAAGATGGTATCGCTGGTGAGGTTGCCGTGGATGATGGGAGGCTCACAGGAGTGCAGGAAGCTGGGGAAGCACCAAGCTGCCCTGAGCACGTTACCTGTGCCCAGCCCAACGAGGAGCGGACAGCTGACGGTGCAAGTGATGGCAAGCTTACCTGAGAGCAGACAGGATCTGAGTGCACCAGCGCTTCCAGGCCTAGAGCAGAGACCAGAGCTCTCCGTCAGACGAGACACCCGTCAGAGCCCAGCAGCCAGATCAGGTCATTCCCAGCTACTACTGACTGGGGAAATCTGCCCTCCACTAGCCTGAGACTGTTACTCAAAGATGGGCCGCATGCTGTCCCAGCAACAACAGTCTCCTTTCCAACCCCTGTTCAAAGAACACCATCAAAGCTGAGAACTCATCCTTATGGGCAGACAGAGCTCCCCTGAGCCCCCAAACCCCAGTGGGAGCATGGACAGACACAGCTTTGGTTGTGGGGTCCATGTGTACGGTTTTCTCTGTACACACCAACAGTGAGTCTCAGCTCTAGGAGTACCTAACTGCACTGGTGTGATACTGAGCTCAAACTTCATGGCAGGGCTTGCAAGGTCAAGCACGGGGACCCTAGAACGGTCACCCAGCTCCTCAGTCACAGACAGCTGAGACCTGCCTGCAAAACCATTGGTCAGATCCATCCTGAGTGGGTTTGCTGGTGAAACTGGTCCCTTCAACCCAAGTAGTAACCTATCCACAAGCCCACCGTCCCTCACTGAGGGTGATGGAGACGCAGGCCTCCTGAAGCATGATGCAGCCCCAAGAACCTCGCTGCAGCAGCTTCCAGCAGGTTCCCCACCCTCCGGGTCAGATCGTGACAGCGGGATCTGTTTCTGGGCTGTCCTGGGGAAGTTCTACTCTTGGTCCAGCCCTTACGAAGATGCCATCTCCCTGCAGCAGGGAGTCCCCGGATAACTCAGGAAGCAACGATACACACTTGCTCTGCCTTATCAGAGACCAGAGACCCTCTCTGTGCCAGCAGACACAGAGCTACCCGCTTCACCTGGGACACCCTGTGCCTGCTCCCAGGGAACCTACCCTGGCATTCATGGCCTTGTGGTTTTTCTTAGTTTTCTTCAGGAACTGTTTCAGGCTCCCTGAGGACACGTATTCTGTGATGAAGATGACCTGGCAGGGAAGAGAGGCGTCAGCTTCCCAGTCTCCCTGCACAGCCAGTGCTGTGCACAGCCCATGGGCTGCACCAGCTAGGAGCACGCAGCCTGTGCTAGCCGCGCACATGGGTGAGAGCGGGCTGCTGGCAGCAGAGTCACGGAGAAGGAAGGGGAGTCCCGGGGAGCAGGGTGAGGAGCAGAGCTGGGATCCCCACCTGGTTCCCACCGGCATCCCTCCCCCAGCCCGGGGATCCCCTGGAGACTTTGCCTCCCTGAGACCTCCCTACCCGCGCCTTCAAGTCTTTCACATCCAGCCAGTATTTGTGAAGCTTTACTATGTTGGGGTGATCCACAAGCACCAGCTGCTCGAACATAGTCTTGATCTTCTCCTGCGGGCAGAGAGAGGACAGGTGAGGTGGCAGGTCCTGGGATGTGGCAGGACACCTCCAAGAGCAAGGGAACCTGGGACTAGAGAGGAGGCTGTGCCCTGGGTCACAGGGAAAGCTGGTTTTGGGGTACAGGGGACACATGGAGCTCTCTCTGAGAGAGAAGCCAAGGGAAAGCACAATGCCATGAAGACAGGAGCACAGCATGACAGGCTGCAATTAGCACTGCTGACTGACGTGTGCCCACGAACAGCAGGGACTGGCACTGCTGCCCAGGAAGGTGCAGCGGGCAGTCTCGGGGGAGGTGGGCACAGTCCCCGCTGGGGAGGGATGGCTCACCTCGTGTGCTTTAAAGGCCTTCTTGTCAGTGAAGAGCAGCTCGTTCCACACCACCTCCACGCCCTCCTCTGTGTCCATGGCAAGGAAGGTGCTCTGGATGCCCGGCATGTTCCCCTGATTCACCTGCGAGGAACGGGAAGGTGTGAGACAGCCCCGCTGCAGCCCTGCCCCATGGCTCCTGGCCCCACCGGAGGAACGTGCTGCATGGACATGGGTGGTCTCTGCTACCACTCTTGCGGAGGACTCCAGCCCACAGGAGGCTCTGGCCAGGAAACAGTGAGCAGAGCAAACCCCCAGCCTGCTGCCTGTTCTGCCCTGCCCTTGGGACCTGCCTGCTTGGGAGCTGAGGCATCGCAGCAGCCAGCACCGTTTCTCCAGGACATGAGGGGACAGGAAAGAGCCAGCAATTCGGAGCAGTTCCTGTGCCAGCCCCTCTCGACTCTTCTAGCCCAGTGAGAAGCTGGTGGTGATGGTCACCTGCCGGCTCTACTCCCGCATGCAGATGGGGACCCCCATGTGGACCCCACTTGCTAGCAGCTGTGGGGGAGCCACCCACACCCATGGCTCATGGTCACACTTGTGATGGACAGGGCAAATTAGAAGGTCTAGACAAACCAAAGCCATAACATCATCTCTTTTAACGTCCCGAGGAGACTGGGGGCAATTCCCCATGCCCCAGAGTCTGTCTGATGAGTTCCCGTCCCCAGAGATGACAGAGCTGCGTCCCAGGACCCACCCCATGGCAAGCAGCTCTACAGACATCACCTCCACAGGCCACGGACACAGCCATGGCAGCCCCATCCCAACGCTGGGTCTCTGCCGATCCTGCTGGAGGACAGCACCAGATCGCTGGTCCCCAGGCCAGCCAGGACCGACGGGGTCCCGGCTCCAGCCCGGGTAAAACCTGCTCAAAAGGCACCCAGTTCTGATAGGGGCTTAACAGCACAGAGACACCCCCGCCCCAGGACCAGGGGGTCCTGCCTCCCAGCAGCAGTGCCTGCTGCATCGCAAGTGGCCGTCTGCACCAGGCTCTGCGCGGTTGCTGCTCTCACTCTCCCCTTGCAAAAGCTTCCCTGCACGGGAGCAGGCCTGCAGCCCCTGACCTGCCCCTCACCTCCTCCAGCGGACCTGGGGAGAAGCCTGGGGCCGGGGCTGGGACCATGGCGGTCCCCCGCTTCAGCCCTGCCAGCTTGGGCAGAGGCAGCACTGCCCGCTCCCGTCTGCCATGCGGCAGGAGCAGCAAGGAGCTGCCGACAGCCAGATGAAAAGGGGGATTGTTCTGCTGCTTCCAGGGGCAGGTACGCAGCATCCCATCGCTGGAGCTCGGACCGCTGCAGCACGGGGCAGCTGTGGGCACAGGCGCAGGCACGCAGCACCCCCGGCTCATTAGCAAGGGACAGACGGGCAGCTCATGGCCCAGTTCCTGCTGCGGATACACAAAGCACCTCTGTTACTTGTTCTCTCCACTTACAGGCTCCACGTGCTTCGCACAAAGCCCAGCACGGACAGCCAGCGATGCGGCCAGCTGGCCTCGCTGACCACAGCTTTCCCAGCAAGTCCCAGCAGCCTCCTGGGGCTCCCAGTGCAAACACAGCCAGCACAGGAGTGCCCAGCAAGGGCACTGCTGGGGGACCCACTGCCGGCGGGCGGTGGGGAGACAGCTCAGCCCTTACCCGGCTTCTCCCACAGCGGGGCCGTCACGCCAGCCGCTGTGAACCCCAAGCCGTGGTCCTTCTGGAGAGGCAGATGCTGCTGGTGGAAAGCAAGGGTGGGCTGCCACAGGAGGGACTGCCTGGCCAAGGGGGATCAAAGAGCCTCGGCAGGAGCTCTCAGCAGCCAGTGCCAGGATGGGCAGGTTTCGGTGGAGGCTGTGCCGGGAGGGAGGGAGGGTGGCTGGGGGCAAGCGCTCACGCAGCACGAGGGTCTGCTGGCCACAGAGCACTCTGTGAAGCTGCTCCTCCGCCTCTCCCCAAAAGTGCCACTGAAAAATCAGGTCATGGTCTTGAGAAGAATCCTGTCCTGAAACCAGTGAGTGGCCACAAGGCCGAGAACAAGGAGTCAAACGGAGAGCACGGACCTGAACAGCCTTTTGGTTACCACAAGGACATGCAGGAGCAACAGAGCTCTGCATGGAGGTTACTGATGCCCAGCTTGAAGGCACAGCCCAGTCTGAAAACCTCAGGTGCCACCTCCTCATCTGCCTCGTTGCGGGGCCACAATGTGCCTGCGGGCAGATACTGAGCCTACAGCAAGACCCAACCTGCAAGGCCACTGCACCCCGTGCCTCCCGTCCCCACACCTGGATGAACTGGGTGGCTGCCAGCCCCCTCCCATCCCTGGGCAGGCAATGCCACCTCCCTCTTGCTCAGAGCTTGACGTAAGAACAGCCAGGCTGAAACGGACCGGCCGCCTGTCTGAGACTGACCCACAGCAGAAGCCCAGGGTCGTCCCTCTGCCACAGCCTCCCAGCTTTCAACAACCTCCTCTCTGAGCCCAAAGTGGTGTCCTGGTGCTTAAGGCTCTGGACAGTGGATCTGTTGGTATCTGGAAGGCTCTGGGTGGCAAGGAACATCAGACTGGCCTACAGGGGAGGAAACATTCCCTGTTCCGTGCAGACGTGAACGTGCTCAGTCTTGTGCTGAAGGACAATAAAACTGATACTGAACAGCTGTCTTGCACATCGAGCTCTGAGACTGCATAAGTAAATAAATGCTGCATTATAATCACAGAGGTGACTGGGGACAAAAAGAACCAGCCACAGGTCACCTTGATTATCTCACGCCATGCCTTTCAGGGGTTCCCGGCAGCTCTAGGTGCTGCTAATGGTGGACACCACGTGGAACAGGCAAAACTCCAGAGCCGGACTGGGCAAATTCCCTGCTCAGGCTGCTTCCAGAAAGCCTTTGGCAGGAGCTGAGGCCAGCCTGGAGAGATCGCTGGGGACAAGTAAGTGAAGGTTTACAAAAGATCAGATTGCATTTTACAATAAATCACTCCCTTTTGAGCTTTTCACGTCAACAAGGACTGAAAGAGTCCACAGAAAAAGGCTTAGGGATATAGTTCTGGGGCCTTGGGAGAGCAGCTGTTAAACAAGGCAGGCATGGGGCTGGAAAGCAATGGACAGGCATTTCTGCTGCCACTGGCATTTAGACCAGATTTGGAGAAGCAAATAAGGACAAGGTGGGTTGTTACCTTTCTCGGGTCACTCTAGGAGAATGGGGAAAAGGCAGGGCCACGGCACCTGAAGGAGAGGGCACTGTGCCAGTCCTCTGCCTCTCCCCAGACACTGCACTCACATCCTCAGGACAAGCACTTTCGGGCCCCATCTCTCGGCAGGGGCATCCTGCTGCCCTCCTGTGCACCCCAGAGCACCCCTCCACGCCATCTGGACCAGCACACCCCTGCTGCCCGTGGGACACTGAAGACAGAGCAGTCCCAGAGGCCTCCTCCCATGGTGGCCCCGCTCCCAGGACCTCAGCAGGGGAGCAGGATTGGGTCAGACAGCTTCTGGGCAAGGGAAGCGGTCCAGCCCCCAGCACAGCCATGGGGTCTGACCACCAGACCCAGGCAGGTGCCCATGCCCAAGCAGCTGTCTTGCATCCTCATCCCCTGGCACAGATGTGTTTCTCCAGCACCCGCTCTCCCCTCTGCCCTCCTGCCTGTCACAGGCAGGAGAAGCACCCAGTGGGGCTCCAACCCAACAGGCAGCCCCTCTGCAAGGGAGGCCAGTTCCTGCCTGCAGGTACTTTACCCAAATAATTTCCAAAGTTTGGCGTTAAGTTTACTGCTTTGTCTCCAAGGCAGCCCAACAGGCAAAGCCTCAGCCCTCAGCCCTGATTAACGTCGAGCAGCGGCAGGGTCACGTTACCAGCCCTGGCCCCCCGGGACCGTTTGCCACTGCAGAACACACACAGATCCTGCCTGGAAAACCTGGGTTTGGATCGGGTGCCTTACTGCACAGGGGAAGGATAATCTGGAGGTTGCTCAGAAAGGAGGCAAAGGCACTGAAAAAGCTCCCTTTGCCTGGCTTGGCAGGGGCTGCTGGGGAAAGGCAAGCGCAGGCTGTGCCATCAGCCAGGGCAAATGCCGGGAGGGAGGGCGGCTGCCCGAGGCACCGTGGGAGAGATGTGCTGGAGGGCCAGAGCAAAGGGGCAGGCAGGGCAGGCAGGCTGGGAAGGGGGTGCCAGGCAGGAGGCTGCAGGGGCGAGCAGTGGGACGGCGACCCTCACCCCCCCATTCCTGCAGGGTCCCTTTGCCCCCACAGGGCTGTCGGTGCCAGGGCAGGGGGT